GGTTGGAATAGCATGCAATGACAGCATCTAAGAAGGCCTGGGCGTTCGCTACAGTGCTAAAGCGAGGATGCTCAAACAGCGGGAGCGCACGGCTGATAGCAAGCTGGGCGACAGCGTCGCGCGAGTCCTAGACGACACGATCAAGCACAGCAGCGGAAAAAACCTCACGCTCAGTAGTGGTGGGGGCATCAGGGAGGGCAGCAGGGGCAGGGGGGCGGGGAAGCAGGCCATCGACATGAACAGCCAGGGTGTGACCGTCCTAGCGCTGACCTGGAAGGTGACGTTGAAGGTCGACGAGCCATGCCTCAAAGTCGAGCACACGACCCTCTGCGTCCAGACGGAGCTGTGACTCCACTATCGCCACTGCTGCAGCTGCTGACGGCCACTGACTAAGTGAGGAGGACAGGTGGAGGAAGCGGTGAAGAGCGGTGGAGTGCGGTGGAGTGCGGTGTAGTGCAGTCGAGTGCGATGGAGTGCGGTGTAGTACGGTGGAGACAGCCGGCAGGGAAGCCGGCGCTGAAAAAAGCCAGAGCCGGTGGGTCTGCGCAGGGACTAGACGGTCTGGTGGGCAGCCGATGAAGGGGGGACCGGCGAGGCTGGAGCCGGCTGGCTGGGCGGCTGGCTGGCCGACCGGCTGGCGAGGGCCGACGGGGCGCACGGGGCCGACGGGGCGAGCGGGGCCGGTAGGGCGCCAACGGGGCCAGCGGGGCGCTAACAGGCCGGCAGGGCAAGCAGGGCCAGAGGGGCGCACGGGACCGACGGGGCGCTAAAGGGGCATGTAGGGCGCGAGCGGGCCAGCGGGGCGCTAACAGGCCGGTGGGGCGAGCGGGGCCAGAGGGGCGCACGGGGCCGACGGGGCGCGAATGGGGCCGTCAAAGCGCTAACGGGTCGGCGGGGCGCTAACGGGTCGGCGAGGCGAGCAGGGCCAGAGGGGCGCACGAGGCCGACGGGGCGCTAACGGGCCGGCGAGGCGCTAACGGGCCGGCGGGGCAGTAGCAGACCGGCCGGGCGAACGGGGGCGACGGGGCACTAACGGGGACGACGGGAGCGAACGGGCCAGAGGGGGCCAACGGGGCACTAACGGGGCGCTAACGGGCCAGAGGGGGCCGACAGGGCGCTAACGGGGCGCTAACAGGCCGGCAGGGCACTAACGGGCCAGAGGGGAGCGCACGGGGCCGACGGGGCGCTAACGGAGCCGGAAGGGCGCTAACGGGCCGGTGGGGCGCACTGGGCCGGCGGGGCGCGAAGGGGCGGCTAGGAGCGGGCGGCTAGGACTAGGACGAGAGCGGAAACGCGGGTGGGCAGGGAGGACCTAACCTAGCTCGTGATACCATCTCAGAGTAGAAAAGTTGACTAGAATGAGTCATACATGTTGATTTTGTTCAAATGGTTGTACCCTTTAAGAGCATGCACCTATCTTGCCTATTATAACATATACAAATATGTTTGACATCCTCTTGCACCGCCTGCTTGATCATGAAATCATCCCATCAGCGAGCAGTCGGACTCCTACAACCATTGGATCCGCCCGAGAGACCCTTGCAACACGTCACGATGGACTACGTGACAGGACTGCCGGCCGGTCCTAGCGGAAACGACGCCATCCTCGCGGTCGTTGACTGAATCACGAAAATGGCGCACTTCATCGCCTGCCAATCGAAAATTACGGTTGAGCAAACTGCCCAGTTGTTCATCGCCAACGTCATCTGACTGCACGGACTGCCCACCGCCATTATTTCGGACCGGAACCCAGAATTCACATCGAATTTATGGCGACACCTGTAGGACCAATTCAGCACCAAACTACAGTTTTCCTCCGCCTACCACCCACAGACTGACGGACAGACTGAACGAGTCAACCAAACTATGGAGCATCTTATTGGGATTATCTGCACTAACCCACAGACATGGGAGAAATCCCTCCTGCTGCTAGAATTCGCGTATAATAACGCGCCTTCCGCAACAATATGTTAATCCCCATTTTTCCTCAATTACGGACATGACCTAGTGGTACCCTCTACACCAAACATCGAGACACCCGTGCCCCGGTCCCGGCGATTTGCCGAAGACATCCTCGCAGCCCGAGAAAAAACAGCAGAGGCAATCCGGAAAACCAACCTGGTCGCAAGCCGACAAGCCGATTGTCATCGACGTGACGTTACTTACAAAGTGGGAGATCTCGTCCTACTCGACAATCGCAACTGGCGCCTGCCGATCCCGAGCAAACCCCGACCCCGCTTCTGTGGATCTTTTCAAGTGACCAATATGGTGACACCTGTCACAGCTCACCTTTGACTCCCGCCTGATTGGCGTCACCACCTAGCTTTCCACGTCAGCCTCCTACGACCCTAAGTCCCAAGTTCGTCCGATTTGGCACGTCAACACCACGTCCCGCAGCTGACGCCCCTGCAAGAACCGACGACCGAGCCTCTGAAGATTCTCGGCCATCGCGTCACCACGCAGCAGAACCGTCGCATGGTGGATTTCCTCGTTAGATGGCACGATCGGACGTCTGAGGATGACAGCTGGGTACCCCTCGCTGATAAAGAACCACACCCGATTCTAACAGCGTGTTATCAGCGTCGGAATGTTTCCGATGCCCGCAGCCTCGTTTAGGAGGGGGGGGGGGGGGATAGTGAAAGGAATTTCCATTCCTTATTGAGTCGTACGTTAGCGCGTACACCCGAATTCCTCGCCTCGTTACGTTCGGCCTCATTTGTCGGCCCAACCCTGTCCCGCGTCGCGTCCGGCACTGTCGCCACATTGCCGAACGTACCCACGTTCCAAGGTTATCGCCTTAGTATGCCAACCAGGGCCTCAGATAGGATTTTAGGCATACTGACCAATCAGAGCGGGCCCCCAAAAAAACGTGTAGCAGTCAGGGTTGGTAGCTTATGTTCATACTGATTCCTCAGGGTGGTTCTCCACCTCTATACTTTGGCCTCAGGGTAAATTCTGAAACGCTTGACATCTCAGAAGTCACTCTAAACAGCAGCAGCAGCAGCACACTTGGCTTCACGCGTTGTGATGGGTTGAGGCGCGAGTGGCCGAGTTTGCATCAACTGTAGCGCACGAGGCAATCAGACCAGGAATATTTTCTTCGTCTGACTGTCATACAGAATTTTGCTGAGACCGGATGGGCGTTCAGTTTAAAGCGAATGCAGCCCCTGAAAACTGTGATGACGTCAAAGGCAAGAAACGAAAAGTTGCGTGAAAAAAACTGCAGCTCGATTTCCATCGAGCGGTTATGACGGCGTTTGACGAGGCTGGATGGTGAGGGCGCATTCCTCGCCTGTGGCACACTCTATGGCAAGTTTTTCTGTTTCCCAATTCAATGTGCAGGATCATCTGAATTTGTTTCTGGTAATCTTGACCGTGGAAAAAACTTATAAACTTTAGCCACGAAGTATTCTACCAAACGTGACGAATAGTCCCTGAGTTGCAGTACTTGACGAGATTTTTATTCGACGTAACCTGGGCATCTCGAATTCTATGAGGACTAAGCCAGAATTTCAGGGCTGCATAGAAGTTGTAGAAGTATGTCTCTCGCAGGGAGAACTTAGCTGAAACGTTTTAGTGAGTAGGGGGTGGGGCGGGGGGAGGATTGTCTCTAGCATTGAGGACTTAGCGAAAATTTCAGATTAGCGGGGACTTTTTGGAGGTTTGTCTCTAGCATTCAGGACTTCGCCGAAATTTTAGAGCAGCGGGGGGGTTTCCAAGGATTATCTCTAACTTTCAGGACTTAGCCAATTTTCGGGGGTTTTCGGAGGGTTGTTGCTACGTTTGAGGACTTAGCCGAAATGCAAAATTCGAGGCAAGGGCTACCCTAGTGGCGCACGTGCATTCAAGATTCGAGGAATCAGGGTTGTCCCCGACGGCATACTGACAGCTCAGGGCTGGTACACGAACACTTTACTGAATCCTCAGGGTTGCACTAAGATTTAAAACTGATTTCACAGGGTGAAAAATGACCTTAAACGGATTTTTCAGGTTTGGCACCTAACAGGCATCCTGAAAATCAGGAATTCAGGATAAAACATCCTGATATCTGAGGCCCTGATGCCAACCCCTATATAATCTCGTGCCTTCATTGCACGAGCGACCTTGTATTCTCACGTTATATTTCATTGACACTTCCTATATCATAACAATACATGACAGTGTGTTCTAAATCCTTCACTTTGAATGTCCCGCCCGTTGGCTTTGGCGGGAGAGCAGTCAAGCCAAGCCCAAACGAGTTCAGGGGCGCAGCGAGTCTGCCGAAAATTTGGCGAAGCCGAAGCCAGACCTAGCCCTTCGCGCCAATATCGTGGTTTTGGTCTGTTACCTGCCACTGTGCCGTACCTACGAGATCATTGATGTTCTGGCACAGGTGCAGCTCTCGAGCCGGAGCTAATCTTCTGAGGCTCGGCATGGTCAAAACCGCGAGCCTAGCCTGTTCGGCTGGTCAGACAGGTTGTGGCGACATGCGAAAGTAGGCTCACCACACAATGAGCTGATGGCCTGCCAATCAGATGTTTCGCGAAATTATCAACGGAAAACATCGGGTCGCACACTTTTCGCCGATGACATTAAGTGGGGTGTCCGCGGCTTGTAGCCTGCCCAGCAAAATTTCCAGCCAGTTCAGCCAGGCTGAGGTTGAACGCACGACAACGGAAACAGGAAATGCAGCAGGCCGTGCAGTTCTCGTACCCCATCTCTGGCATCAGACTGCTACTTACTGTTCATTCCTGCTTCAGAATGGCACAAGATTGATCGCACGCTGGTCACCCTCGTCGCACGCCAGACCAGCCAAACCATGCCCTGCTGACGCATGGCTGCGATCGCCACTCGCCCAGGTTTACCGGGTCGCGCTGCACCTCGCGGCTCGCCTGTTCGCCCCTTCCATTCAGCCCTGGCTTGGGAAACCTCTCCCTCCTGACTTTTCCTTCATGACAGTCGGGTCAGAGCGCAATCCAAAAAGCTTGCCTGCTCTTTCCTTTGTGGCTGTCGTGGTGCTGAGCTCTCCTCTCAACATTTCCCTAGCACTCACCCACCACAGCACCTTTTACAGGCTTCCATCTGCTCTAGAATTCCATCCAAGCTCTTCCACCACCTTAGTTCGAACGGCAGGCTCACCATGGCGACGGTGATTCAGGAAACGTTCTATACCTGAGTAGATCATCCCGCATAATTATGGCCTCAACTTAGCTAGGATCCCGTATACAGCCAGCCAAGCCTTGCGTGTAATTAGAAATCTCGAGCCGCCACCTCGGCGGTTAACCCGCCAGGCTTTCAGCCGAAATCGTCCAGCCTTCGACCGTCCGTCAGGATGGCGTCCGTCTGTCAGATCTGCGGCGATTCCGTCGGCGTGGCCGTCGACGGAGAGCCATTCATCGCGTGCGGCCACTGCAACTACCCCGTCTGCCGGCCGTGTTACGAATACGAGCGCAAGGAAGGTGGCAAGGCGTGCCCCAACTGCAAGACCTTCTACAAACGCCACAAGGGGAGCCCGAGGATAGAAGCCGACGACGAGGAAGATGAGGAGGGAGGAGAGGAACAACCGGCCGACTGGAGATACCGATCGTCGCTGTACCAGAGCGATCCTAGCCCGCCCCCGGCGGCCGGAGGAACGCTGCACCAGCCGCAGCCGTCGATAAACGACGCGCAGAATCTCGCATACGGCACGTCGCCAATCCACGAGAACTCCGCGTTCCGAAGGTCGCAGATGGACAACGACTCGGCGAGTGACTATAACGAGCACCTGGGCATGCCCGTGGGGTCGACGTCGCCGCAGGTCGGGCCGCGCAACGCCATCGTGCCCAGCGGACCGGGCTTCGGCACGTTCGGCAACTCCACCAGCCAAGCGCAGAACGAGTGGCTCGCGCCGTCAGGTAGGAAGGAAACCGAGCGGGAAGAGCGGAGAGGGAATGCATTTAGAGAGTAAATTTTACCGTTCAGGGTCCAGCATGTTACCCTAAGATGCTCTGTTCAAAGTCATGTTTACCGAGTACCGTGCGCTCGCTGTCTCATTGCCGTTTTCCGCCGCATTCTCAACCCCCGTTCCCCTTCCGCGGTCCCTCCCGTACCATTTACCATTTCTCCGCGTTCCAGGCTCGGGGGCGGAAACCCCCGCCGTGCGCGCGCTGGACCCGAAGAAGGACCCCACGGAGTACGGGTACGGCAGCGTCGTGTGGAAGGGGCGCACTGTGGCTTCCGCCGACGGCATGGAGGCGGGCGGGGGGGGAGCCGCGGGGAACTACGCGTACGGCGGCATGGGCGGAGACGGGTCACCCACTCAAGACCAGGACGACCTGCCCACGTGAGTGTGAGGGAGGGGGGGAACGGGGGTTCTGGGTGAGAGTGTGTGTGAGGAGTGCGTGTGAAGAGGGATGAGCAGTGAGGATGTCTGGTGTGTGATGGAATGCAGTGTGCTTCCTTTCGCAGCCTGTCTGTCCGTCCGTCTGCAAGCCTGCGCTCCAACTAACTCCTTACGAAGCCTTGCCGTAGTTCCCCTTCGCTCAATCTTTCTCCCCCTCTATCCCTCCTTTCCCCCCGTGCTCGCTCACAGCATGGACGAGTCGCGCCAGCCGCTCTCGCGCAAGATCCACCTCAAGTCGGAGTTAATCTCCCCGTACCGCCTCGTCATCGTGATGCGATTCGTCATCACCGTGCTCTTCCTCCGCTGGCGTATCATGAACCCCGTCTGGGACGCCTACGGGCTCTGGCTCGTGTCGATTATCTGCGAGGTCTGGTTCTTCTTCTCCTGGATTCTCGATCAGTTTCCCAAATGGAACCCGATTCGGCGGGAAACGTACATGGACCGGTTGTCGCTGCGATTCGAGAAGCCCAGCGAGGACTCGCAGCTCGCAGCCGTGGATATGTTCGTATCAACGGTGGATCCGATGAAGGAGCCGCCGCTGACCACGGCGAACACGCTGCTCTCGATCCTGGCCGTCGATTACCCCGTCGAGAAGGTCGCGTGCTACTTATCCGACGACGGAGGATCCATGCTGACGTTCGACATGATGGGCGAGACGGCGGAGTTCGCACGGATCTGGGTGCCTTTCTGCAAGAAATACAACATCGAGCCGCGCGCGCCGGACGTTTACTTCATCCAGAAGGTCGATTTTCTCAAGGACAAGCTCGACACGACGTTCGTCCTGGAGCGGCGCACCGTGAAGCGGCAGTACGAGGAGTTTAAGGTGCGGATTAACGCGCTCTGCGCGCGCTTCCAGAACGTCCCCGCGGACGGGTGGACCATGCAGGACGGCACGCCGTGGCCCGGGAATAAATCCCGCGACCACCCGGGCATGATCCAGGTGTTTCTGGGGCCGAACGGCGGCGCGGGCTCGGACGGCGTGCCGCTCCCACGGCTCGTGTACGTGTCGCGTGAGAAGCGGCCCGGGTACAATCACCACAAGAAGGCCGGAGCTATGAACTCGCTGGTGCGCGTCGCGGCGGTGCTGACGAACGCGCCGTACATTCTGAATCTGGATTGCGATCATTACATTAACAACTCGCGCGCGCTCCGGGAGGCGATGTGCTTCATGATGGACCCGAACGTGGGGCGGCGCTGCTGCTACGTGCAGTTCCCGCAGCGGTTCGACGGCATCGACCCCAGCGATCGATACGCCAACAACAACACCGTGTTCTTCGACGTGAGCGCCGCCCCGTGCCGTACCGTGCTGTGTCCTACACCTGGTTTGTTCTTCGTCTCGTGCTTCTTCCTCGTTCTCTCTCCGTTTTTGCCACTTTCTCCTTTCGCCATTTGATCGCTTTCCTCTTACCCTCAATCTCTCTAGCTCACCGTGGCCTATCCCTGTCCCTCGCTTCTCCTCACCTGCTCTCCCTCTCCCCCCCCCCCGACTCATCCAGATTAACTTGCCCGGGTTGGACGGAGTGCAAGGGCCGGTGTACGTGGGTACCGGTTGCTGCTTCCGGCGGCACGCGCTGTACGGATTCGACCCGCCGAAGAAGGAGAAGAAGACGCGCAACGGGATCTGCGCGCTCTGCTACTGCATCCTGTGTTGCGGGGGCTGCGGCGGGCGCAAGAAGAAGGCCGCGGAGCTGCAGGCGCTGGCGGAAGGCGGCGGGGGGAGCGAGGGGAAGGGTAGGGGGAAGGTGAAGGGGCGCAAGGGGAAGGGGAAGAGCGGGCGGATGGAGCGGATCGTGGAGGGGCGGGAGGAGGTTGCGGCGATGGCTATGAGCGCGATGGGCATGGGGATCGACGAAGTGGAAGGTACGAGAGAGTTACTGAGTGAACGTGAGTTACTAAGTCACTGAGTTACTGAGTTGCTGGGTGATTGAGGGAGGCGAGTGCGAACACCATTCCCCGTTCAGCGTTGCCCGTCCATTCGACCCCATTTATTCCATTCACCTTCAACCCTATGTACCTCCCAAACCCACTACCTCCCTCCCCATTCACCTTGTAAAACTTGTGTGCATCCGCCCTTCCCCTCTTCCCTCCTCTCCCCCCCCCCTCCTCCTCCCCCCCTCTCCAGGCATGACGGAGGAGGACGAGAAGGGCAGTCTGATGGCGCTGAAGAAGTTCGAGAAGCGGTTCGGCGCGTCGCCCGTGTTCGTGCTGTCCACGTTCCACGAGGAAGGCGGCGGCGTGGCGTTCACGGGCCCCGGCTCCACGCTCAAGGAGGCCATCCACGTCATCTCGTGCGGCTACGAGGAGAACACGGACTGGGGCAAGGAGGTGCGTGCGCCTGGGGCAAGATTCTCCGGGGGCTGTATGCTCACCTGACGCTTAGGGCGTGGTACTCTTTTCAGATTTTGGGAGAACTCGAACTTTTAGGGCGGGGGAAACCTTCTCACGTTTCGCGGCGCTGATGAAGAGCGTAACCCGAACAAATCGAACCGAACATAATGTACCACGCCCTTAGCTTGCTTGGATTGTGCTGGTTCGGCCCATTCTGCCCTACCACTCTGCTTGCTGCTTGCTGGGATTCATTATCCCTTGTGCTTCTTCGTCCCCACCCTCCCGCCTTCCCCCATCTTACCATACTTCCCCCCCTAACATTCTTACATCTCTCTCTACCCTCGCTGCCCTCCCCCCCCCCCTCTCCCCCTCCCCCCCCTTTTCCCCCCCTTCATTTGTCTCTCCTTTCCTCCCCTCCCTCCGCATATCCCGGTGCAGATCGGGTGGATCTATGGGTCCGTGACGGAGGATATTCTCACGGGCTTTAAGATGCAGTGCCGCGGCTGGCGCTCCATCTACTGCCAGCCCAAGCGCGTGGCGTTCAAGGGGTCTGCGCCCATCAATCTGTCCGACCGTCTGCAGCAGGTGGGTTGGTGCGCTGGGAGAGGCGGGGGAGGAGGATCTGGGGGGTGATAATTTTGGGCATATTTTTTTGTGGGGGGTGGGGTGCATATTTTCACCACTACTACAAAATTTTGGTCCTGGTTCTCCACACCCCCTTCTTCCGCTCTCCTCCCCCCCTCATCTCTCCTTTCCCTTCTCTTCCTTCGATGCCTTCCTTCCCCCCTCCCCATTTCCTTCCCTCCCCCCTGCCCCACCCCACCCACCCCATTCCATGCCTCCCCCCTCCCTCTCCCCCAAACTCCCCCTCACTCCAACGTCCACTTTTCCTCACTTGATCAGTCAGGTTACTTTGGCCCTGGCGAGTCCCTTACCCGTCTCTGCTCTCACCCATCTCTTGACCTCCCATCGTCCCCATGCAGGTGCTCCGTTGGGCTCTGGGGTCCATCGAAATCTTCCTGTCCCGGCACTGCCCCATCTGGTACGGCTGGAGGGCGAACAAGCTCAAGGTGCTGCAGCGGCTGTCGTATGCAAACACGGCAGTGTACCCCTTCACGTCGTTTCCGCTGCTCGCGTACTGCATGCTGCCCGCCATCTGTCTGTTCACGGGGAAATTCATCATTCCGGGGCTGACAATCACGGCGACGCTGTACTTCGTCGGGCTGTTCGCGGCAATCATTGCGACGTATGTGCTGGAGCTGAGGTGGAGCGGGGTCAGTCTGACGGAGCTGTGGCGAAACGAGCAGTTTTGGGTGATTGGTGGCGTGTCGGCGCATCTGTTTGCGGTTTTCCAGGGATTGCTGAAGGTGCTAGCTGGCATCGACACGAATTTCACGGTCACGGCGAAACAGGCGGACGACGGCGAGTTTGCTGAGCTGTACATGGTGAAATGGACGACGCTCCTGATCCCGCCCATGTTCCTCATCATTATCAACGTCCTCGGGATCATCTCGGGGTTGGCTCAGGCGATGAATATGGGCACGGTTGGGTGGGGCACAATGTTTGGCAAGATTTTCTTTTCGCTGTGGGTGATTCTGCATCTTTACCCCTTTTTGAAGGGTATGAGCGGGAAGAACAAGCGCGTGCCGACGCTGGTTATTGTGTGGGGGATTCTGCTCGCGTCCGTGTTTTCGCTGCTCTGGGCGGATATCAACCCATGGGGTGCGCCCGTGACTGGCCCCACTGCTGAGGCCTGCGGCATTCGGTGCTAGATTTGAGGTGCTGGCTTGAGGAAAGGAAGGGGGGGAGGGTGGATCGGTGAGTGTGGTAAGCAGGCTGGGTGGTTGACGTGCATGGGGATGGATGGAGCAGACTAAGAGGCTTCTAGGTGGGCATGTTTGCCCATGTTGGATGGTGGTCGGATGGTGGCTGGGTGGTGGCTGGCAGGTGGTTGGAAGGTGGCTGAGGTGAGGAGGAGGATCATGGGGGTGCGGGATGGGATGACTGAGTTCCAGAAGTGTGTATGGGCTAATGGCAAGACCCCTTGGTAGCGTATTCTGAAGGGCAATGGCTAGCAAAGCCACCTTCAGTTTGACTGATACAGTAGCATACATAGGTGCTGCAAGTTTGCCCATTCCGGGTCCTGTAGGCTATCTCTAGGCCCCAACAACTCCTCCTTTCCCCCTACTTGTGATGTTAGTTTTGTCAACTTATACATATTATCTATGTAGAAGTTATAGGCTAGACTGAGGTATGCTTCTAGTGAGTACAACCAACTAGTATTTGTTCTAGGTTTCCACCTCTAGTAATCATTCGTTTCTACGTTAACATGATATCACGCTTAGGTTAGGATCCCCCCGCCTACCGCTTCCGCCCGTCGCGCCTCCTAGACCCCGTCGCGCCCCCTAGGCCCCGTCGCGCCCCCCCTGGGCCCCGTCGCGCTCGTTAGGCCCCGTCGCGCCCCCCCTGGGCCCCGTCGTGCCCGCTGGGCCCCGTCGCGCCTCCTAGGCCCCGTCGCGCTCCCCCTAGGCCCCGTCGCGCCCGCTGGGTCCCGTCGCGACCCCTAGGCCCTAACGCGCCCCCGCTGGGCCCCGTTGCGCCTCCTAGGCCCCGTCGCGCCCCCCATGGGCCCCGTCGAGCCCGCTGAGCCCCGTCGTGCCTCCTAGGCATCGTCGCGCCTCCTAAGCCCCGTCGCGTCCCCCCGTCGCTCGGCCTCCTCCTAGTGCCGCCCGGCCTCCTCCTAGTGCCGCCCGGCCCCTTCCTAGCGCCGCCCGGCCTCTCCTCAGCGCTGCCCGGCCCCTCCTCGTGCCCGACCGGCCCCAGCAGCACCAGCCTGGCCCCTCCCAGCACCAGCCCGGCCCCAGAGCACCTGCCCGCCTCCCCTGCTCGTCCTGCCGTGTCCTCTCGGGCCCTGTGTCTTCTGCTTGCCTGCGCTGGGACGCCTAGCTGCTGCCCTACTGGAGAGTGCTGCCGCCGTGTCCCCGCGCCGCTGTGCTCCTGTGCCGCTGAGGAGCTGTGCTGCTGTGCCGCTGTGTCGCTGAGGAGCTGTGCCGCTGACCCTGCACGATGGCTGACTTTGTGCTCCGCCTGGACGCTGAGGGCCACGCGGTTGACTTCGCCGCCTGGCTCTCCGATCTTCGCCGCCAGCTTACAGGTCAGCGCCAGGATGGCCACTCTCTGGTTGTCCATGCTGATGGCTTGCTCCCCCGTCCCCTGCACCTACTCCCCTCCCTGCTGACCCCTCCTCTGATGACCGTGAGGCTTTCTCTACTGCTGCGCTGGCCTGTGCGATCTGGGACTCACGCGATGCAGTAGCTCAGGTTGCTATTAGTCACGCCCTCCCTGTGTCTGAGCGCTCGCGTTTTGCTACTGTTGAAACGGCCAAAGCTTATTTAGACGCCGTTATTGCTCGCTATTCCACCCCTGCCTCCGCTTCTGCTGGCCGCTTGCTCTTTCCGATGCTGTTCCCATACCTGGCTGCCTTCCCTACTGTCGCAGATTTTGCCACTCATTTGCGTGCCCTAGAGACTCGCTATCGCACTGCCAGCACTGCTGCCCAGCTCACTGCGCTCCCCCCTCCTTTCTGCATGACGCTCTATTTTATTGCTATGCGCCTGCCAGACCGCCTCGCTAGTGCTCGCGACCACTTTCTTAGCCAGCACCCGGGTGACCTCACCCTGACCGCCTTTGTCGACACCCTCACTGAGATCGAGACTCGCCAGCGCACTATCGCTCAGTCGAGCGGTGCGCCGCCAGTCTCTATCTTTCACGGCTGTGCCCCATCCCCGTGCACGTTCACTGACGTTTCGGCTGCGGTCGCCACGGCGACCCCTCTTACCGAGACGGCTGCTGCTGTCCACCCGCAGCAGCGCTCGCGTCGCGGTGGCCGTGGCCGCCAGGGAGGTAGGGGTGGTGACGCAGGTGGTAGTGGTCGGGGTGGTGGTGACGGTAGTCCGCCTGAGGGGACTACCACCGGTGGGCAGGAGCAGCAGTCCCAGCAGCAGCAGGACCAGCCCCAGCCGCAGCCGCCGTCCCAGCAGCACCCGCCGCAGCCGTGGGCTCGTCTCCCGCCTGGTTGGCCCGGCACCTCCGGAGGCGGTGGCCGTGGTGGCGGCCCGCGCAGCTTGGCGTCTACCAGCGGCTCCAGTGCTGTGACCTGCCAGTACCAGCTTCAGACCGGGCCTCTCCGCGGCACTCTGTGCCGCCGCCCGCACCCGACCGCCCGCTGTTTCCGCCGCCTCGACGATCTTTTTGGTCGTCGCTTTGGCCCGGCCCCGGACCTCCCTGACTGGCACAGCCTGCTCCGCCAGGGCGTGCCGATCTTTGAGTTAGACATGGATCAGATAGGTGCTGCTTTGCATGCTTTGTATGCTGACGCTTCTAGTGTTGATGGATCTTACTACCCTGTGTACTCTAGTTTAGGTGTTTCACCCTTGTGTAGCTTAGCTTCCCCTGCTGCGACAGGCGTAGGACTGCCTAGGTTGCCTAGTCTAGTCGCTGCACCGGCTCCGTCCCCGGCCCCCGCCACTGCGTCGCTGTCCTTCACTCTCGACTCTGGTGCTTCTGCCTGCTTCTTCCGCGACCGTTCCACGCTCACGCCGCTTGCTCCACCTGCTGTTGTCTCTCTCGCTGACCCCTCTGCGGGTCCGGTCGTCGCGCGCAGTTCTACGTCCCTTCCCTGTCCGGCAGTTCCCTCGGGCTCCCTTACTGGCCTCCACGTTCCCTCGTTCTCCAGGAACCTGGTTGGTGTCGGCTGTCTCCAGGACCTCGGCGTCACCACCACGTTCCCCGGGCACGAGCGGTTCGCTGTCTGTTCTGAGGCTGTCTCAGGTTCCCCCCTTGCGACGTTCCCCCGGGACCCGGTGTCCGGTCTGTTTACCCTACACACCGCTTCCCCCCCGGTTGGTGCGTCCTCCCAGGTCGCTGCAGCTTGCTCGTGTCGGTCCCTCACTCACCCCTCCCTTCTCTGGCACCACCGCTTAGGTCACCCTGCTCTCCCGCGTCTGCGTCACATGTCCCAGCACGGTCTTGTCTTAGGTCTCCCCGCGTCGCTCCCTGCCCTTCCTCCCTCGACTGCGCCACCGTGCACGCCTTGCGTCGAGGGTCGGCTCCGCCGTGCTCCTCACTCCTCCTCGCTGCGTCCTGCTACTGCCCCCCTTCAGACCCTGCACTTGGACGTTTGGGGCCCTGCCCCCGTCCCCGGACCGCGCGGTGAGCGCTACTTCCTTGTGCTTGTCGACGACTACACGCGCTACACCACGGTGTTTCCCCTGGAGCGGAAGGCCGACGTGCCCGACGTTCTTCTCCCGTGGGTTGTGGCTGCGCGTCTCCACCGCGGTCTCCCCGTGTTGTGTCTCCACTCCGACCGTGGCGGCGAGTTCGCCTCTGGTCGGCTTGGACAGTTCTGTCGTGCGGAGGGCATCACCCAGTCGTACACGTTGCCGGACTCGCCACAGCAGAATGGGGTTGCTGAGCGCCGCATCGGCTTGGTCATGGAGGTCGCCCGTACCTCCATGATCCATGCCGATGCCCCCCATTTTCTGTGGCCGTTCGCTGTTCGCTACGCGGCTCACCAGCTTAACCTGTGGCCACGCTCCCAGCGGCCGCAGGTTTCGCCGACCCTCCTTTGGACCGGGTCCCCCGGTGACGCGTCTGCGTTCCACGTCTGGGGCTGCCTTGCTCACGTTCGTGCCTCTGGCACGGACAAGCTCACTGCCCGCACTGTCCCCTGTGTCTTCCTCGGTTTCCCCCTGGACTCGTCTGACTGGCTTTTCTACCACCCGCCGTCTCACCGCTTCCTCCACTCTCGTGACGTCACCTTTGATGAGTCCGTCTCCTTCTACCGCCGCTTCCCTCACCGAGGTCTCCCAGTTGCCCCCCCCCTTTTCCTTGCTCCCTCTCCCCCGGTAGCCCCTGCCCCTCTCCCGCCTCGTCCTGCCCCGTCTGGTGTCTCCCACGTCACTCCCCTCCCGTCGGTTGTCCCCGTTGAGGAGTCTGCTGACTCTGGTGGTACCCCCGGTCCGTCCTTGCCGCGTCCCCCTTCCCCGGTGCCTCCGCCCCCACTGTCGCAGTCGCCGACCCCGCTGCCGCCGCCGTCGCCGTCGCCGCCGCAGCCGTCGTCGCTGTCGTCGCCGCCGCCGCCGCTGTCGCTGCCGCAGCCGTCGCCGCTGTCGCCGCCGCCGCAGCCGTTGCCGCCACTGCCGCCGCTGCTCTCGGCCCCTGGGGGTGCTGGTGTGGAGGAGGGTGTTCGTCCTGCGGCTTCTGGGGGTGCCGCTGGTGTTGGAGGGGGTTCTCGCTCTGGGGGTGTTGGTTCTGGGGGTGCTGCTGTTGAGTGTTCTGCCGACGGTCGTTCTGCCTCTGCTGGTCCGAGAGTTCCGGCCCAGCCGTCGTCGCCGCCGCAGCAGCCGTCGCCGCCGGTTTCCGCTCTCCGCCTGCTCGGCCTTCCCTCCCCGGACCGCGCGCCGGTGTCTCCCCCACCGCCTCCTGACCTCCCTGTCTACGGTCCTGTGTTCCCGCCGCCAGACTCGTCTCCGGCCCGTCTTCCTCCTCGTTCCCCTCCTGTGTCTCCTCCGCTGTCCCCTGACCCTACCCCTCCGTCTCACGTTTGGGCTCACCGTCCCTCCCGTGCTCGTCCCGTCTCTCCTGTCCTGCCCACCCACCCTATGTTGCTCCGTTCCCACTCGTCTCGTCCTCCCCTCCTCCCGTCCCCTCCTCCCTCGTCCCTTGCTGTTGCACCTCCTCCGTTCTCTGACTACCTCCGTGCTGCTCGTCCCCTTGTCCCTCGGGTCCTTGCCTCTCTTGTTACCGACCCTGCTGTTCCTGTCTCGCGCCTTGACGCGCTTGTCGCTGCTGTCGCTGACTTCGCTTCTACCCGCCGCCTTGACTACGCTACCGCTCTGGTCTCTGACCCTGCCCGTCCTCTGTCCGTCGGGGGTGCTCCTGCCCTTGGCAGTGACGTCCTAGAGGACAGGCAGTACGAGCTGGCTTTCCTTTCCGAGGCTGCTCCCCATCTCTGCTCCATGCTGTTAGTCCCTGAGGGTGACCCAGACGCCTTCGACATCCCGACCCCTCGCACCTACGCTGAGGCCACCTCGGGACCTTGGGCCTCTCAGTGGATAGCTGCCATGGAGCAGGAGATGGCATCTTGGAGATCCACCGGCACTTACGTCGACGCAGTTCCCCCGCCTGGGGTGAACGTAGTCGATGGTCGGTGGCTCTTCAAGGTGAAGCGCCCCCCTGGAGAGCCGCCTGTCTTCAAGGCGCGCTACGTGGCCAGAGGTTTCAGTCAGCGCGAGGGGGTTGACTTCTTCCAGACCTTCGCCCCGACCCCGAAGATGACCACTCTTCGGGCGCTGCTACACGTAGCAGCACAGCGTGACTACGAGCTTCACTCCCTCGACTTCTCTACTGCCTTTCTTCAGGGCAGCCTACACGAGCAGGTCTACCTGCGCCGACCACAGGGCTTCACTGGTACCTTCCCTCCTGGGACCCAGTGGCTTCTCAGGCGCCCGGTCTACGGCCTGCGTCAGGCTCCCCGCGAGTGGCACGACACGCTACGTGCCACGTTAGCAGACCTGCAGTTCTTTCCGTCCTCTGCTGACCCTTCACTGTTTGTGCGTTCCGGCCAGACTCCGTTCTACATCCTTGTCTACGTAGACGACCTGGTCTTCGCTACTCCTGACAGGGACGCACTGGCCTCTGTGAAGGCTGAGCTGCTGAAGAGACACACCTGCACTGACCTTGGAGAGCTGCGTCGCTATCTTGGCCTGCAGATCTCTAGGGACAGAGCAGCACGCACCATCACTCTGACCCAGTCACACTTGGTGCGTCAGGTCCTTCAGAGGTTCGGTCTTCAGTTCTCCTCCGCACAGCCCACACCTCTACCCGTAGACCATGGGCTCTCTGCTCCCGTTCCTGAGGAGCCAGTAGAGCCCAGTGGCCCCTACGCAGAGCTGGTGGGTTGCCTCATGTACCTGATGACTTGCACTCGCCCAGATCTCGCATACCCTCTCAGCATCCTGGCTCGCTTTGTGGCTACAGGCAGACACCGACCTCAGCACTGGTCTGCCGCTAAGAGGGTTTTGCGTTATCTTGCTAGTACATCAGGCATGGGGTTAGTGCTAGGAGGACGCAGGCCAGTGGTCCTTACTGGGCACACAGACGCTTCTTGGGCAGACGACGCTGAGACGCTCAGGTCGTCGCAGGGCTACTGTTTCAGCCTTGGTTCGGGTGCTATCTCTTGGAGATCCACTCGCTCGTCGTCTGTGGCTCAGTCTAGCTGTGAGGCTGAGATCTACGCTGGTGCCATGGCGGCACAGGAGCTCCGCTGGCTGACCTTCTTGCTCACAGACTTAGGTGAGCGGCCTAGCTCTGCCCCGGTCCTGTACGCTGACAACAGGGCCATGATACTCCTGTGTCAGGAGCCTCGGCTTGAGGGCAGAGCGAAGCATATCCAGCTGCGGTACTTCCTCCTGCGCGAGCTACAGCAGCGCCGCCAGGCCCGCGTAGTTCACTTGGCCTCAGGTGCCAACACAGCTGATATCTTTACTAAGGCGCTTGCGCCTAAAGATCATCAGCGGCACTGTGTACAGCTTGGTCTTGTTCCTATAGCTGCTCCCCTGTTAGGATCCTGATTGTGTACTCTCTATTATATATGCTTGTCAGACTGGCCTTGTGGCCTTACCTCCAGTGGCTGGACTAGTAGTGCCACCCTGGCTTGCTTCAGTTTTGGTTGTATTCTTGCTGACTGGTCTCCAGACCCCTGCCTCAGTGGTTGGACTAGTAGTGCCGCCCTGAGCTGTTTGCTTCTTGTTTAGTTTCACCCCTTGTCTAGCCTAGGGGGTGTGTCAACTTATACATATTATCTATGTAGAAGTTATAGGCTAGACTGAGGTATGCTTCTAGTGAGTACAACCAACTAGTATTTGTTCTAGGTTTCCACCTCTAGTAATCATTCGTTTCTACGTTAACAAGTTTATCTACATCTGTTCCTCCATAGTCAGTCAGGAAAGTTTTCTCATTAGTTTGTCTCATGCCACATGCTTAGATCACACGGTACATATCTCTTATGGATTCTACAGTACTATGCAATTTAGTGTGGAGAAGAGTATGCAGGCGAAATTGCTTGCAGCAGTAATTAACACAGCGAGACGACTGGTGAACGAGTTAGCATTTAGCAGGCTAGCTGCTGCACATATACTACCATAGTACCACTAGTACCGTGCCCATACTGATGTCAGCAAAAGTTCATGAGTGGTCTGATCTAATTCTGCCTAAGAAAACTTGTCAGGTGGGGCTTTGCTCGGCTAGAAGGGCTGGGAGGCGCCGAATCAGAAGCCGCTCTGCTGTTGCCTGGGGCGGTGGTGAAAAGGGTGGCGAGGAAATGCGAGGTGGGGTGAAGGGAAGATCAGGAGTGACTTCAGGATCGCATGCATTGGGAGAACCAGAAACGTTGCCACCATATGGTGTATGCATCAGCACACACATGCATCACCACCACCTTCCCTCTCTCAACTCAGTACACATCACACTCACCCAGCTTTCTCCCCCAACCCCCACAGAACGAGATGAATTTTGAGCAGACCCATGACTGAAGGGTTGATATACGCCAAATTTCGAAATGCGAAAACGACCACGTCTGACCCATTCAAGGGCGGTTCTGAATCGCCAGGCAAAATTCTAGTCCAAGGGATAATAGAAGCGCACACTACCATAGTTTCTCCTATAATTGAGGCATTCAGACTTTGGATCCCAGGTGAATTCGGAATTGAAAATACTCAATCGCGAGACCTGCTTTTGAGCCGACCCAAAAGGCACCCCAGCCTTCTCCCCCACCAGTCATCACAGAACGTCAGCAAATCAAATGACGGGTGTGGCATACAAAGAAAGGCATGCCATGTCCATCCACCAACCAACATGATCCACCATGATCCACCATGATCCACCAGCAACCACCACCAACGCAACACCAAAGCACCATCAAACCACCGTCAACCAGCAGTTCCCCAGTTATCACTTGCCTCTGTCATGGGCGCATTGGGTGGGATGTTTGACGCCAAGATAACTGCACACCCCAGTCGCTTGCCTGCAGCCGCGGCAAGGGGAGCAAGGGGAGATATACGGACGGGGGAGAGCCGGGAGAAAGGAGCACGGGAGAGAAAGGACACACCCAGCCTGAAGTCATTTGAAGGGAGCAGAATCACCACTCTCTCACATTTAAATCTTGAAAGCCAGTCAATTATTAACAACCATCCAACACTCACTCAACTCCCACAGTCAGTCAGTCAGTCAATCGGTCTTAAAGCCGCCAGACTTGGAGGGGCTGCACGCCTAGGCTCACTTAAAACCAACAGCCATAGTGGTCAAGCCTGAACCAGTCTTTGCTCTCGTATAGGCTTCTGGGCTCAATCATTTAAGGAGCCACAGTGGTCACGTGGATGTATGTTTTTGCAGAATATGCTGCTAGTCTAACACAGTCTGGCCTCTAGCCTCGCTCAGTCTGGCACCTGGCGGCCATGGAGGATAAGCATGAATGTTTAGTGTATGCAGCGAATCATCATGCACCAAGCCTCACTTAGTCTGGCGGCCATCGAGCTGGAAGCCCCCTCCGCGCCCCCACCAATCAGAGGCGTGACAAGTGGCATGGGGTCCTGACAGGGCCCGCAAGTAGGGGAGAGCAGGGCGAGGGGGGGAATGTGGGGCATGTGGGGGAGAAATGCATGGGGGGAATGCATGGGGGGAATGCATGGGGGGAATGCATGGGGGGAATGCATGGGGGGAATGTGGGCGGATGAAAAGAAAGCGGGTGGGGGAAGTGGGAGGGAGAAGGAGGGGGTAATGGGCGGACCAGGGAGAAAATGGGGAATAAGGATCCAGCCGGGACATTGGCAAGGAAGAATGGTACTAGGTTGTTGGGCTGGACACCGCACGGAGTGTGACGGTGACTTCTGAGTTCTCAAGAGTTGGCTCAGAAGGATGGGAGAACAAATCGAGTGTGACAGTGTGACAATACCGTGGGGAATGTTGGTAGAGCTAAGTACGGAGGGGATGGAGGGGCTGAGAGGAAGACGGGATGGAGAGGTGGAGATGGGCATGGGGACGGGCATGGGGATGGGGACGGGCATGGGGATGGGGACGGGCATGGGGACGGGCATGGGGATGGGGATGGTCTTGCAGGATTGGAACGACATGTTCGAGTCAAGAACACACGAATTTGGACTGGAGGAAGATAATGAGTAATTTCCAAAAGATCCATCGCAGAAAGAAAGGGCTGGAAATGCATCTATGAAATGAGGGAGGAACACAACATACGAATCTGGTGGGTATGGCGGCGTAGACGTTGCCGTGGGATGCGGTGTTGAGCCCCACCCACACGTACAGCTGCCGAGGATGGGCACATGGGAGTAGACGGGGGGGAAGGGCGCACGGGAATATAAGGGGAGGTCGGTGCATGGGAGTATAAGGGGGGGTCGGTGCACGGGAGTATAAAGGGGCCCGGTCCACCGGAGTATAAAGGGGGGTTGGTGCACGGGAGCATCAAGGGCAGCCGGTGCACGGGAGTTCAAGGGGAGATGGTTGCAAGGGAGCGTATTCATTCGGGAAATCCGCATTCAAGTGGGCACACAGAGCCAGGGGCAGACACAGAGCACAGGAGCACACAGAGCCAGGGGCAGACACAGAGCACAGGAGCACACAGAGCCAGGGGCAGACACAGAGCACAGGAGCACACAGAGCCAGGGGCAGACACAGAGCACAGGAGCACACAGAGCCAGGGGCAGACACAGAGCACAGGAGCACACAGAGCCAGGGGCAGACACAGAGCACAGGAGCACACAGAGCCAGGGGCAGACACAGAGCACAGGAGCACACAGAGCCAGGGGCAGACACAGAGCACAGGAGCACACAGAGCCAGGGGCAGACACAGAGCACAGGAGCACACAGAGCCAGGGGCAGACACAGAGCACAGGAGCACACAGAGCCAGGGGCAGACACAGAGCACAGGAGCACACAGAGCCAGGGGCAGACACAGAGCACAGGAGCACACAGAGCCAGGGGCAGACACAGAGCACAGGAGCACACAGAGCCAGGGGCAGACACAGAGCACAGGAGCACACAGAGCCAGGGGCAGACACAGAGCACAGGAGCACACAGAGCCAGGGGCAGACACAGAGCACAGGAGCACACAGAGCCAGGGGCAGACACAGAGCACAGGAGCACACAGAGCCAGGGGCAGACACAGAGCACAGGAGCACACAGAGCCAGGGGCAGACACAGAGCACAGGAGCACACAGAGCCAGGGGCAGACACAGAGCACAGGAGCACACAGAGCCAGGGGCAGACACAGAGCACAGGAGCACACAGAGCCAGGGGCAGACACAGAGCACAGGAGCACACAGAGCCAGGGGCAGACACAGAGCACAGGAGCACACAGAGCCAGGGGCAGACACAGAGCACAGGAGCACACAGAGCCAGGGGCAGACACAGAGCACAGGAGCACACAGAGCCAGGGGCAGACACAGAGCACAGGAGCACACAGAGCCAGGGGCAGACACAGAGCACAGGAGCACACAGAGCCAGGGGCAGACACAGAGCACAGGAGCACACAGAGCCAGGGGCAGACACAGAGCACAGGAGCACACAGAGCCAGGGGCAGACACAGAGCACAGGAGCACACAGAGCCAGGGGCAGACACAGAGCACAGGAGCACACAGAGCCAGGGGCAGACACAGAGCACAGGAGCACACAGAGCCAGGGGCAGACACAGAGCACAGGAGCACACAGAGCCAGGGGCAGACACAGAGCACAGGAGCACACAGAGCCAGGGGCAGACACAGAGCACAGGAGCACACAGAGCCAGGGGCAGACACAGAGCACAGGAGCACACAGAGCCAGGGGCAGACACAGAGCACAGGAGCACACAGAGCCAGGGGCAGACACAGAGCACAGGAGCACACAGAGCCAGGGGCAGACACAGAGCACAGGAGCACACAGAGCCAGGGGCAGACACAGAGCACAGGAGCACACAGAGCCAGGGGCAGACACAGAGCACAGGAGCACACAGAGCCAGGGGCAGACACAGAGCACAGGAGCACACAGAGCCAGGGGCAGACAAGAGCACAGGAGCAACAGAGCAGGCAGACACAGAGCACAGGAGCACACAGAGCAGGGGCAGACACAGAGCACAGGAGCACACAGAGCCAGGGGCAGACACAGAGCACAGGAGCACACAGAGCCAGGGGCAGACACAGAGCACAGGAGCACACAGAGCCAGGGGCAGACACAGAGCACAGGAGCACACAGAGCCAGGGGGCCAGACACAGAGCACAGGAGCAACAGAGCCAGGGCAGACACAGAGCACAGGAGCACACAGAGCCAGGGGCAGACACAGAGCACAGGAGCACACAGAGCCAGGGGCAGACACAGAGCACAGGAGCACACAGAGCCAGGGGCAGACACAGAGCACAGGAGCACACAGAGCCAGGGGCAGACACAGAGCACAGGAGCACACAGAGCCAGGGGCAGACACAGAGCACAGGAGCACACAGAGCCAGGGCGAGACACAGAGCACAGGAGCACACAGAGCCAGGGGCAGACACAGAGCACAGGAGCACACAGAGCCAGGGGCAGACACAGAGCACAGGAGCACACAGAGCCAGGGGCAGACACAGAGCACAGGAGCACACAGAGCCAGGGGCAGACACAGAGCACAGGAGCACACAGAGCCAGGGGCAGACACAGAGCACAGGAGCACACAGAGCCAGGGGCAGACACAGAGCACAGGAGCACACAGAGCCAGGGGCAGACACAGAGCACAGGAGCACACAGAGCCAGGGGCAGACACAGAGCACAGGAGCACACAGAGCCAGGGGCAGACACAGAGCACAGGAGCACACAGAGCCAGGGGCAGACACAGAGCACAGGAGCACACAGAGCCAGGGGCAGACACAGAGCACAGGAGCACACAGAGCCAGGGGCAGACACAGAGCACAGGAGCACACAGAGCCAGGGGCAGACACAGAGCACAGGAGCACACAGAGCCAGGGCAGACACAGAGCACAGGAGCACACAGAGCCAGGGGCAGACACAGAGCACAGGAGCACACAGAGCCAGGGGCAGACACAGAGCACAGGAGCACACAGAGCAGGGCAGACACAGAGACACAGAGCCAGGGGCAGACACAGAGCACAGGAGCACACAGAGCCAGGGGCAGACACAGAGCACAGGAGCACACAGAGCCAGGGGCAGACACAGAGCACAGGAGCACACAGAGCCAGGGGCAGACACAGAGCACAGGAGCACACAGAGCCAGGGCAGACACAGAGCACAGGAGCACACAGAGCCAGGGGCAGACACAGAGCACAGGAGCACACAGAGCCAGGGGCAGACACAGAGCACAGGAGCACACAGAGCCAGGGGCAGACACAGAGCACAGGAGCACACAGAGCCAGGGGCAGACACAGAGCACAGGAGCACACAGAGCCAGGGGCAGACACAGAGCACAGGAGCACACAGAGCCAGGGGCAGACACAGAGCACAGGAGCACACAGAGCCAGGGGCAGACACAGAGCACAGGAGCACACAGAGCCAGGGGCAGACACAGAGCACAGGAGCAACAGGAGCACAGGCAGGAACACAGAGCCAGGGGCAGACACAGAGCACAGGAGCACACAGAGCCAGGGGCAGACACAGAGCACAGGAGCACACAGAGCCAGGGGCAGACACAGAGCACAGGAGCACACAGAGCCAGGGGCAGACACAGAGCACAGGAGCACACAGAGCCAGGGGCAGACACAGAGCACAGGAGCACACAGAGCCAGGGGCAGACACAGAGCACAGGAGCACACAGAGCCAGGGGCAGACACAGAGCACAGGAGCACACAGAGCCAGGGGCAGACACAGAGCACAGGAGCACACAGAGCCAGGGGCAGACACAGAGCACAGGAGCACACAGAGCCAGGGGCAGACACAGAGCACAGGAGCACACAGAGCCAGGGGCAGACACAGAGCACAGGAGCACACAGAGCCAGGGGCAGACACAGAGCACAGGAGCACACAGAGCCAGGGGCAGACACAGAGCACAGGAGCACACAGAGCCAGGGGCAGACACAGAGCACAGGAGCACACAGAGCCAGGGGCAGACACAGAGCACAGGAGCACACAGAGCCAGGGGCAGACACAGAGCACAGGAGCACACAGAGCCAGGGGCAGACACAGAGCACAGGAGCACACAGAGCCAGGGGCAGACACAGAGCACAGGAGCACACAGAGCCAGGGGCAGACACAGAGCACAGGAGCACACAGAGCCAGGGGCAGACACAGAGCACAGGAGCACACAGAGCCAGGGGCAGACACAGAGCACAGGAGCACACAGAGCCAGGGGCAGACACAGAGCACAGGAGCACACAGAGCCAGGGGCAGACACAGAGCACAGGAGCACACAGAGCCAGGGGCAGACACAGAGCACAGGAGCACACAGAGCCAGGGGCAGACACAGAGCACAGGAGCACACAGAGCACAGGAGCACAGAGCCAGGGCAGACACAGAGCACAGGAGCACACAGAGCCAGGGGCAGACACAGAGCACAGGAGCACACAGAGCCAGGGGCAGACACAGAGCACAGGAGCACACAGAGCCAGGGGCAGACACAGAGCACAGGAGCACACAGAGCCAGGGGCAGACACAGAGCACAGGAGCACACAGAGCCAGGGGCAGACACAGAGCACAGGAGCACACAGAGCCAGGGGCAGACACAGAGCACAGGAGCACACAGAGCCAGGGGCAGACACAGAGCACAGGAGCACACAGAGCCAGGGGCAGACACAGAGCACAGGAGCACACAGAGCCAGGGGCAGACACAGAGCACAGGAGCACACAGAGCCAGGGGCAGACACAGAGCACAGGAGCACACAGAGCCAGGGGCAGACACAGAGCACAGGAGCACACAGAGCCAGGGGCAGACACAGAGCACAGGAGCACACAGAGCCAGGGGCAGACACAGAGCACAGGAGCACACAGAGCCAGGGGCAGACACAGAGCACAGGAGCACACAGAGCCAGGGGCAGACACAGAGCACAGGAGCACACAGAGCCAGGGGCAGACACAGAGCACAGGAGCACACAGAGCCAGGGGCAGACACAGAGCACAGGAGCACACAGAGCCAGGGGCAGACACAGAGCAAAAAAAACAAACAGAGCACAGGAGCACACAGAGCCAGGGCAGACACAGAGCACAGGAGCACACAGAGCCAGGGGCAGACACAGAGCACAGGAGCACACAGAGCCAGGGGCAGACACAGAGCACAGGAGCACACAGAGCCAGGGGCAGACACAGAGCACAGGAGCACACAGAGCCAGGGGCAGACACAGAGCACAGGAGCACACAGAGCCAGGGGCAGACACAGAGCACAGGAGCACACAGAGCCAGGGGCAGACACAGAGCACAGGAGCACACAGAGCCAGGGGCAGACACAGAGCACAGGAGCACACAGAGCCAGGGGCAGACACAGAGCACAGGAGCACACAGAGCCAGGGGCAGACACAGAGCACAGGAGCACACAGAGCCAGGGGCAGACACAGAGCACAGGAGCACACAGAGCCAGGGGCAGACACAGAGCACAGGAGCACACAGAGCCAGGGGCAGACACAGAGCACAGGAGCACACAGAGCCAGGGGCAGACACAGAGCACAGGAGCACACAGAGCCAGGGGCAGACACAGAGCACAGGAGCACACAGAGCCAGGGGCAGACACAGAGCACAGGAGCACACAGAGCCAGGGGCAGACACAGAGCACAGGAGCACACAGAGCCAGGGGCAGACACAGAGCACAGGAGCACACAGAGCCAGGGGCAGACACAGAGCACAGGAGCACACAGAGCCAGGGGCAGACACAGAGCACAGGAGCACACAGAGCCAGGGGCAGACACAGAGCACAGGAGCACACAGAGCCAGGGGCAGACACAGAGCACAGGAGCACACAGAGCCAGGGGCAGACACAGAGCACAGGAGCACACAGAGCCAGGGGCAGACACAGAGCACAGGAGCACACAGAGCCAGGGGCAGACACAGAGCACAGGAGCACACAGAGCCAGGGGCAGACACAGAGCACAGGAGCACACAGAGCCAGGGGCAGACACAGAGCACAGGAGCACACAGAGCCAGGGGCAGACACAGAGCACAGGAGCACACAGAGCCAGGGGCAGACACAGAGCACAGGAGCACACAGAGCCAGGGGCAGACACAGAGCACAGGAGCACACAGAGCCAGGGGCAGACACAGAGCACAGGAGCACACAGAGCCAGGGGCAGACACAGAGCACAGGAGCACACAGAGCCAGGGGCAGACACAGAGCACAGGAGCACACAGAGCCAGGGGCAGACACAGAGCACAGGAGCACACAGAGCCAGGGGCAGACACAGAGCACAGGAGCACACAGAGCCAGGGGCAGACACAGAGCACAGGAGCACACAGAGCCAGGGGCAGACACAGAGCACAGGAGCACACAGAGCCAGGGGCAGACACAGAGCACAGGAGCACACAGAGCCAGGGGCAGACACAGAGCACAGGAGCACACAGAGCCAGGGGCAGACACAGAGCACAGGAGCACACAGAGCCAGGGGCAGACACAGAGCACAGGAGCACACAGAGCCAGGGGCAGACACAGAGCACAGGAGCACACAGAGCCAGGGGCAGACACAGAGCACAGGAGCACACAGAGCCAGGGGCAGACACAGAGCACAGGAGCACACAGAGCCAGGGGCAGACACAGAGACACAGAGAAGACACAGGAAGCACACAGAGCCAGGGGCAGACACAGAGCACAGGAGCACACAGAGCCAGGGGCAGACACAGAGCACAGGAGCACACAGAGCCAGGGGCAGACACAGAGCACAGGAGCACACAGAGCCAGGGGCAGACACAGAGCACAGGAGCACACAGAGCCAGGGGCAGACACAGAGCACAGGAGCACACAGAGCCAGGGGCAGACACAGAGCACAGGAGCACACAGAGCCAGGGGCAGACACAGAGCACAGGAGCACACAGAGCCAGGGGCAGACACAGAGCACAGGAGCACACAGAGCCAGGGGCAGACACAGAGCACAGGAGCACACAGAGCCAGGGGCAGACACAGAGCACAGGAGCACACAGAGCCAGGGGCAGACACAGAGCACAGGAGCACACAGAGCCAGGGGCAGACACAGAGCACAGGAGCACACAGAGCCAGGGGCAGACACAGAGCACAGGAGCACACAGAGCCAGGCAGAACAGAGCACAGAGACACAGAGCAGGGCAGACACAGAGCACAGGAGCACACAGAGCCAGGGGCAGACACAGAGCACAGGAGCACACAGAGCCAGGGGCAGACACAGAGCACAGGAGCACACAGAGCAAGGGGCAGACACAGAGCACGGGAGCACACAGAGCAAGGGGCAGACACAGAGCACGGGAGCACACAGAGCGAGGGGCAGACACAGAGCACAGGAGCACACAGAGCAAGGGGCAGACACAGAGCACGGGAGCACACAGAGCAAGGGGCAGACACAGAGCACAGGAGCACACAGAGCAAGGGGCAGACACAGAGCACGGGAGCACACAGAGCAAGGGGCAGACACAGAGCACGGGAGCACACAGAGCGAGGGGCAGACACAGAGCACAGGAGCACACGGAGCCAGGGGCAGACACAGAGCACAGGAGCACACAGAGCAAGGCAGCACACAGCGGACTGGCTGCACGGGAGCATAAGGGAGGTCGAATGCCACATAAACCCCACCCCCTCCCCCACAACCCCCCGGCATCTCCTCCCCCCCCCTCTCCCCCTCCCCCCTCCCATCCCTCTCCCCCCCCCAATCTCTCTCCCATCCCTCCCTTACCCTCACCCCCGTACTTGCTGACTCAGCTCCACGACTCAAAATCCCAAAAAGCACTCTCGAGAATTCTCAGAATTCTGAAAGGATCCCGCGCACCCCTACACGAGAAATCTCAGATTTCTAAGAACCTTCCCCCCACCTGCTGACTCAGCTTCACGATTTGGAAGTGAAACTTGCCGTCGGGCCCCTCCTCGCTGAATTCGCGCGTCCAAATCCCACCGCCGGTTGCGCCGCCGCTGCTATCGCCGTGTTTCGCGGGGATCTCTTCTGCCGTGGCCGCCGCCGTTGAAGGCGGCGTAGCTGTCGCGGCGTGTTGCCCTAGGGAACCGCCGCCCGCTGTTGCCCCTGCCGTCCCAGGTGCGAGAGGTTCCGTACGCCCACTTGCGGACGGCTCCGCAGGCTCGGCGGAAGATTGGGCGCGGGGAAGCTCCGCTTGCTCCGCCATTGGCTGTGGTTTACAATTTGCGATAGGATGGTGACTCACAACCAGGGCTAATTTTCCGTTTTTCAAGACCCAGCGGGCTCAGGGGGAAACTTACTGATGCGGACTGTCCACGAAATCTTTCATACCTTCGCGGACAGGGCCTACTTTCATGGCCCGCACATCTAACTTTTGCTTCTCCCGTGGACTTGGTCCATACTTTCGTGGACAGCGGGCATACTTCCATGAACACAGGCGAATTTGCACTTAAAAAACGTAATCAGAACTGTACATGTTGTGACGGGCGGGAAAATAAAATGAAAACAGAAATAGAGTGCGTCCCAAACCGTCGAGAGCTAAAAAGCCTCCATACAGGTCATATTCCCTTAGCACCCGGGGGGCGACGCGGCAGATTTCCCTTTTAACGAATACTGGCCGTACGGTAGGGGCAACGTGGACTATGGGGTTTCCCCAGGAAATGGGGCGTTGTTTTTTGTGCACTGTGCATGGGCGGCTTGACTGGCGTATGCAGCGACCGAGTAAACATCGCGACGTCGCACGCCTCTCCACCTGTGTATCAACTCCGTGTTTCAAGAGAATGTCATAATTGATTCCGCAGGTGACAAACATGGACTGCAATAAAGCAACAAGAAGAATTGATTCGACAAAGACAGCACTCGACACTGAACTAAACTCGAAATCAGACTACGGCCGAAAACCAAGCATACGTTGACAAACACTGCCCAACTCCGTGCAACACAGCACAACCCATAGCACAATTGCAACACTCCGAACTGCAATGCCATGGAAGTTCATCGCGCCAAACAAGAACTGCATAATTAACCGCCTAGTACCCGCGATAGGTAGCGGGCTGCGCGCCAAAGGTCATCCACTCGCCCGCGTCTGGATATCCGGTCATAACCGCAGTGGCTCCGCAGACATGGCTAAGGTACTCTTCCTTCGCCGCGCACCGCGCATTGTTAGTGTCCAGGCGGGGGGATGCGCGCTCCAGGCGATCAATAACCGCAGGTTCGCGGATGTCGAACAGCACTCGGAGATCTCGCGGAGCCAAGCCAATGGACTTGGCGTAGCGGCTCCTCCTCTTCAGGAGTGGCGCCAAGGAGAGGTAGCAGCGGCTGCCAGCTGGCGGGCAGCATTCGCGTCCTCCAGAAGCACTTTTGGATGGTCGCGGTATCCAAGCCAAGGCACGAATCCGAAACCCAGGTTACCACCTGCCACATCTCGGGCTTCCACTTCAGAATCGCGGCGACGGTGACGCCAGGGATCTGCCACTGTGCGAGAACTGCCTGAAGCAACTCCACCTTGTAACGTGCCTTTAGAGCGGCGATGAGGCCCTGGTCCAGAGGTTGGTTGAACGGGGTCGTGTTCGGCGGCAAGTACACGAAGCGCACGTGCGAGAGCGCGCGCGTCCGAAACCCGCAGATGTCGGCTGACGTGGCGAGAGGGGATTGGAGCAGGTGACTCGACGTGTTGTCGAGCATGACGACGATGCGGCGTCCTTCCGCCAAGCAGTACGCGTTAATGTGCTCGAAGAACGCCGTGAAAACTTGCGCGGGGTGTATGGGATGGATTATTTTTTTAGTCGATTATTCTTGACACACGCCACATTTTGCATCGGATAGATTTCGGCACGGTGCATGCAAGCGATGGAAAGCGAGGCATTTACCTCTGCCGTAATCCATCCGGAGGTGTTCGCGCGCCAGTAGCAGTACTTCGCAGGGTCAAATTTCTGCTTTGCGAAGCAACGGGGCCGCTCGAACTTGTGAATGATGAACGGCTTGAAAAGCTTCGAGCTGCCCACATTCACCAGCAGCGCGACGGTGAGCCGGTCCTTGCAGACCTTCTTGCCCGGGGTAGGGTCAATGCAGAATGTGTGGTCCAGGAGGAGACTGTAGCAGACGCAAGTCTCGTCGAAGTTGAACAAGTTCTCCGGGGTCACGCCAAGCTGGTCGCACAGCCTCGGGAAATGTAGTTGCGCGGTCAGAGCGGCGCCCTCGCCGGCAGACTTCGCCTCGTCGCTCATCTTACGCCACTTGAATCCCATTTGGCGCAATGCTTTCTGAACCCATCCAACAGAAGCTTTGAAATCGCTAGGCATGTTGCACTCGGGCGCTAGCAGTATCGCGCGCTACAAGATTAGAGCCGTCGAGACGTGCAAGCCAGAACCATTCATGCTTTTCAGCCAGCTCTTGAGTCGAGCTTCAAGTAAAGGCCAATGTGGGTTACGCACCCTTTTGAACTTGGCGCGTTCGGGCCCGATGGCCCGCCACTTCTGTTCTGTTTGCAGAACTCGACGACTGTGCTGCGATCCGGCCACAGGCCGTATCTGGTGTGGCACCATCGCCCAATGTCTTCGAGACGCAAGGTTGAATTCTTCTTGGTGTACTGGCAGATTGCAACCTTCTGCCCGACGGCGAGCGCAATTCGCCGTACAGGTGCCATGTGGACGACCTCGTGGGTGTGGCGGGCTCGTTCCTTGTGTCCTGAAGGGGTCGCTATTTGGGGCATAAAAATAACCACGTGGCGTCTGCACTGTTGGCGGGGGGAACGATGTTAGGACCCCTCTGTTGCTTCCTTGGCGCGTTCGTATTCACTGTGGGTGGACGGATTTTCCAGGGGCAACGCCAACGGATTCCGTTGGCGTTGCTGGCATAATTCTACTGGACCGTCAGCGAGCTGGTCGTATCTAGTGCATCATGTGAATTTTTGCCTCGACATTGGTTGGCGAGCCTGACACATCTGGATTTTTAGAGGCTCGCCGACCATTAGGTGTGGTCACTCTGAAAACACAAGAGCAAACTGATTGGACAGCCTTGCATCAGCCGAATTGACTGTCTAATCCACTGTTCAGTTGAGACGGGTACACTTTGCGTACAAGGAGTGGCCCTTAAGGATAAAATGCATATAGAATACTCCTGGGCGTAAAAGGGGGTCATCTACAAGGCATATGACATGTACATACCAAACCCGAAGCAGAATGCCGCAATCATGGAAGTGGTAGTTACGATTTCTCGAACATAAAGGTGGGTACACTACTGTATTTGAGAAATACAGTCACGCATCAACCCTTCAAGGCGGAAAATGGGTGTTTGAACATTACTTATTCCATAAGAGCCTCCATCATACGCACACTGTTTAGATTTCGAAGTTCATGTATTTCTATTCGATTGTTAAAAACGTCATAAACAATAAATGGTTTTCTAATAGTGTTTTATTCTCCTTAAAAACAATCCTTTCAAAATCATACTTTAATACCATTATTAAGGCATATAGCATACAAGGGATTTTTAGAGAAAACACCCTATTCAATAATATATGCATTGGTTGTAATACATATTAATTGATGGGATCATTATTCTCATTACACATAAAAGTTTTTACATTGACTATATGGATATTTTTTCAAGGGTCTTAAATACGAAAGCTATATATACATAATTTATGTTGATAGATTGGATTTCATGTGAGGTGTTGCTATCTGGTTTAATGATGGGATTTAGCCCACTGCAGCTGATATACGCTGGTGTCGACTGTAGCCCGTACGTTACAGTATCTGAAATGGATTTTGAGCGTCACTGCAAAATATCCTTAATTTATGCGAAACAACATCTGACCTGGCTGGATGCGGACACTGTAGCTTGCGACCCTTTGCGACGGTCCTGATTTTGGCAGTTTTGTTTTTTTGCCCGTCACAACGTGTACAGTTCTAATTATGTGTTTTTTAGTGCAATTTCGTATGTGTCCATGGAAGTATGCCCGCTGTCCACGAAAGTATGGACCGAGTCCACAGGAGAAGCAAACGTTTGATGTGCAGTCCATGAAAATAGGGCCTGTCCACGAAAGTAGGAAAGATTTCGTGGACAGTCCGCGGCAGTAATTTTCCCGGGCTCAGGATTCGCGTCACTGAAGACCCTGAAAAATCAGCATTCCCTGGAAAATCTCCCTTTATTTCAGGATCACTTTGAACTTTCAATATGAAATCCAGAGCGTCTTTTAGAACGCCCTACATATCAATAGAACCTTTGGGCAGTTCAAGAAAGCAGGAAGGACAAAGATGGAAGAAATGGTGGAAGAGAATACAAAACACTTACTTCCTGCTGCTGCTGTCCCAAACCAGCACACCTAGTTCGACACTTAGCTTGTCCATCGCGACAGAAATGCATAGAACTTAGTGAGAGTAACAGTGCGCAACCTGGCTTAGATGATATTAAGGGGGTGTGATTAGTCTGACCGCCCTGCGCTTGTGCGGCTGTAAAAGTTCTACAGGCCGCACTTTCAGATTGCGTGGAAAATTGGTTAGGGGTGGGATTGCAATTCCGGCACATGTAATTTTCCATACCAGTCAGATAGCCAGGACAATTTTCCGCGCAATCCGGATTGCTCAGGGAGTTCCTTGGAAACGTCCGGAATCAGTCAGGAGGTTTGGGAGGCCGAAATTCTCAAAATCAGGATTTCAGCGGGAAAGATCCGGAATGTACTGACATTCCGGATTGTTACCCTTGAACAGAGAGCCCTGTTCACAACCAGGGCTTATGCTAGGTTCCTGTGCTGCTCAGACATTCAGGGCGCCCCTCGAAAGTTACTCTGAAAAAAAAAAAAAAACAAGAGGTGGCGAGATCGTCTTAGGGTTGCGGAGCATTTGATGATGAGACTTTACTACACATAAATTTTTGATTTTCATACCAAATAATCACTCCGTTTGTTGGATAGAAGCCATCATTTTCCATATCACAACAAACATTAGATTAATATTTCCATATTACAAGAACAAATGATCGTGTTTAATATATTTATTTGAAAATTGAGGCAATATGTGAAAATGAGTTTGGATGAGGCAACTTCTTGAAGGAGTACAAAAAATTTTGTCTACTTGTCAAGAATCGAACCTTGAAGCTTTCAAGACTTATCTGAATTTCAATCGGTTGGGCTAAATTGTGGATCATTAAAGAGAATTTACAATGACAGAAATCGTAAATTTGCGACGAGGGTCCAACAACTTCAGCGAATCTGATTTTCCTCTTGCCTAACAATCTCCTCAGCAGAGCTATCTCTCATAGCACAGGTATGTCGTTCATAGCGTCCTAGGCTTTCAATACATTGAAGGGTTGCCTCTAATTTCCTCAATTTTCCTATTTTCTTTCCGCGACCTCGATATTTCTAGGTCGA